TCTCGAAGGGTACGGTTAAAGCGTTCTGTCATGCCATTGGTTTGAGGATGGTATGCCGAGGATTTCCGATGGACATGCCTTGAGTAGCTCGTCAACGGCCTTCGAGAGAAACACGCGTCCACGGTCACTCAGTAATTCACGAGGTGCACCGTGTCGCAAAATGAGATGGTGAAGAAGAAAGGACGCAACGTCTTTCGCAGTGGTAGCAGGCAGCGCAGATGTTTCAGCGTAGCGTGTCAAATGATCCACGGCGACGATAATCCACCGGTTGCCTCGAAGAGAGTTGGGTAGAGGACCATAAATATCAATTCCGACGCGGTCGAATGGTCTCGCTGGGCAGGTTAAGGGTTGCAAAGGGCCAGCAGTGCTGTGAGAAGGCGTCTTGCGTCGTTGACACGTGGTGCATGACCGAACGTACTGGCAAACGTGCTGATACATGCCGCGCCAGTAGTATCTTAGACGAAGGCGGGAGTAAGTCTTAAATACTCCAGCGTGGCCACACTGGGGGTCATCGTGAAAGGCAGTGCAGATGTCCGAACGCAAATGACGAGGGATGACAAGGAGCCACCTACGGCCGTCCATCACGTAATTGCGGCGATACAACAAGCCTTCACGGACAGCAAAGTGTCTTGCTTGACGAGAGAGGGAGCGTGAAGTCGTTTCTGACGAACTGTGAGAGAGGACGTCGAGCAAAGAATTGATCCAAGGATCCTTGCGCTGTTCGGATGGCATGTCAGTGGTGCTCAACAATGACGAATCGCAAATGGCAGTTGATTAGCAGGCAAGGTCAGGAGGCAGTGGAGAACGGGATAGTGCATCGGCGTCTGAATGTCTGCGTCCTGAGCGATAAATAACACGGATATCGTATTCCTGAAGGCGTAAAGCCCAACGAGCGAGGCGGCCAGTAGGATCTTTTATGGACGCTAACCAGCATAAGGCATGGTGATCTGTGACAACATCAAACTGGCGTCCGTAAAGGTAGGTGCGAAATTTTCCTATAGCCCAAATGATAGCCAAGCACTCCTTTTCCGTGACGGAATAGTTGGACTCTGCCTTCGTTAGTGTACGGCTGGCATAGGCGACAACGTACTCATCGCAGCCATCCTTGCGTTGAGCGAGAATGGCACCGAGGCCGACACCGCTTGCATCCGTGTGAATTTCAGTGGGTGCATTGGGATCGAAGTGGTGGAGAGCTGGCGGAGACGTGAGTAGCCGGCGTAGCGCCGTGAATGCCTTATTGCAGTGGGAATTCCAGCCAGAGAGGTCCGCGCTACGGGAGAGAAGTCGAGTCAGAGGCGCAATTACAGAGGCAAAATTGCGAATGAAACGCCGAAAATAGGAACACAAGCCTACGAAACTACGAAGCTCTTTTAGGGTTGTAGGCTTGGGGTACTCGGCAACGGCACGCAGTTTGGCAGGGTCTGGCGATATTCCTTCTTTTGAAACGACGTGGCCGAGAATTGTGAGTTTGCGGGCGCCAGAACGACATTTCTTGAAGTTTAGTTGCAACCCGGCTGCCGTAAGGCACTGGAGAACTTGTTCCAGACGGGAAAGATGAGTTTCGAAATTCGCCGAGAATACAACTATGTCGCCTAAATAGCAAAGACAGATGTGTCATTTAAGTCCCCTGAGGACACTGTCCATCATTCTTTCAAAAGTCGCAGGCGCATTGCAAAGACCGGAGGGCATTACATTAAATTCATATATGCCGTCAGGGGTCACAAACGCTGTTTTTGGACGGTCTGGTTCAGCCATTGGCACTTGCCAATATCCAGAGCGCAGATCCAGTGAAGAGAAAAACTCCGCACCTTGAAGGCAATCCAAGGCGTCATCAATGCATGGCAGGGGATAAACATCCTTGCGTGTGATGTTGTTTAGTCGACGATAATCCACGCAAAACCTGATGGAGCCATCCTTTTTTCGCACGAGGACCACTGGCGAAGCCCAAGGACTGTGTGAGTGCTGAATAACACCACGTTGCAGCATCTCGTCGACGTGTTGAGTGATGACGTCACGCTCAGCCTGTGAGACGCGGTAGGGGCGCTGACGAAGTGGAGTATGATGACCGGTATCGATATGGTGAGCGACAACTGACGTGCGTCCCAAGGGAGGTTGTCCGTGGTCGAAGGAGGCGCGGAAACGGTCAAGTAGTTGAATGAGCTGATTGCGCTAGTCTTGCGTAAGGCCGGTGTCTACGCTGCGCAACAGAATGTCTTCGGCGCGGTGGCAGCTGTGACAGCACCCACGGACATCGGTGTCGTATCAGAACGGGCATCGAAAGGAAAGATGTCATCATAAGTGTCAAGACTCCTAATGCATTCGCCATGCAATTAGGTAGCGGGACAAGGGAACGGATTGCACACGTACACAGCACTGGAGCCATCGGCAAGTGTTATGACGGCAAACGGGACGACAAGGTTCCGGCGACGAGCGCATTCTTGTGACGGCATAAAGAGGGCAGTTGAATCGGAAACAGAGTTGCACAAAAGAGATACCGCGGCGACCGAAAAAGCAGAAATGACGACGTCAGTGGCGACGATCACCTTTTTGTGTGAGCGAGGGAGATCTATGGATGTCGTGCTGAATGGAAACAAAATGAGTTGAGCACGAGCGCAGTCAACAACCGCATGATTAGCGGAAAGAAAGTTCCATCCCAGGATGATTTCATGAGACGCATGCGGAAGGACGACAAATTCAACGATGTAAAGCACTCCTTGAATCACAACACGAGCAGTGCATGTGGCAGAAGGTTGGACGTGTTGCGAACTCGCTGTGCGTAAAGAAATTTCAACCAGTGGAGTCGTCACTTTGTTCAGTTTGCGGCATAACACTTCACTGATAATACAAATAGCGGCACCTGTGTCGACAAGAGCAGTTGTGGCGAAACCGTTCACAAACACAGCAATCTCGTTAGGGGGCGAAAGATGAGGCCTTGGAAATTTCGTCGGTGGCGCAGCTCTTGCCTCAGGAACTGCGACTCTTAGTTTTCCTCCTGGGAGTGGTTGGAACGACGAAGCATGGAGGAAGGAGACCGAAGATGGGGTGAAGGAGATCGACGTCGGCTGAAGTCTGGTCGACGTGAGCGGGCGTCATGTGAATCAGGTGTCACATGCGATTCTGATTGCCGAGGTATGTTGCCGGAATGCTGAACATCATTAAAATAGAATCCACGGCGACGACAGTAGCGCGCGACATGTCCTGTAATACCACAGTTGTAGCACACGGGCCGGTTATCCGGAGTACGCCAAGAGTTTACAGGTGCTCGAGGTGGTGGAAAGGGCCGATTTACCGGATAAACCGAAACTGGTGACCTGTAGTAGTTGGTGGCTGGACTTTATGAAGGGAGTGGCGGTTGGGCAGGAGGTCGGCGGACGGCTTCTTCATAAGTCAGCGGTGCAGCCACTGATATTGGGGATGCGGGCGAAGGGAGAGCCTCGGCAACTTGCATCTGAATAGCACGGCGAAGTGAGTGGTCCAGTGTTGTGGGGGTCTCGTTGATGGTGGCGACAAGAGAGAGCTGTCGAGCAACTTCCTCCCGGATGTACTGTTGAATTTGAGGCATTAACACGCTGTAGTCGGGGCCACTGTTTTTGCACTCCAAGGCCGAAATATCAGCTGTTTGCGTATTAGCGCGACGTGTAGAAATTCGTTGCTTGCGCAGCTCATCGAAACTTTGACATAGCTGAATCACGGCCGTGACGGTCTGTGGGTCTTTGGCCACAAGCATATGAAAAGCGTCGTCATCAATGCCTTTCATTATATTCTTTATTCTGTCAGCCTCCGTCATCCTGGCATCAACTCGCCTACAGAGGCTGATGACGTCCTCAATGTAGCTCGTGAAGCTCTCACCATTTCGCTGAAATCGTCCCCGCAGTCCCAGTTCAGCACGAAGCTTACGCATGGCTGGACGACCGAAAAACGAGGTGACGGCCTCTTTGAAAACCGACCAGGTGGGGATGTCGGCTTGGTGGTTGGTGAACCATAGGTTGGCCAAATCCGTCAAGTAGAAGATGACGTGAGTCAGCTTCGCAGGGTCATCCCACTTGTTAATCGTGCTGGCATGCTCGTGCTCTGCCAGCCAGTCCTCGACATCTTGATCTTCAGTGCCGTTGTATACTGGTGGGTCACGCAGACGAAGTACACCAGAACACATGACAGGTGGCAGCGTGGAAGAGCCTTGTGGGGGATCGACACGCTCGGTCATCGCGGACTGAGATGGTAGCTTACGGCTGCAGAGCTTCAGGACGTTACCCAGCACCTCCACCAAATGCAACGAGCAAGGTTGCGTAAAAACACGGGTTATTATTCGAGAAACGTTAGCCGCAACAAGCTAGTACAGGCAGGAACCCGGCAAGCACGAGCCACACACGGACGTCAACGTCTTCTTTCACGCTGGCACAGAGCTGGCGCCACTATGCTTCGGTACAGACCATAATATGCTTACTTCTATGTTTCACAATTTCATAAATAAACAGAAGAGTAAATTCTTAAATGCATGTTTATACTTTATTATTTTCCTAAAATTGCTCTCTTGAAAAGTTACTGTTCAAACACCATCGGGTCAAATTCCATTAAATTTAGACGTGTTGCAGCTTGGCCAACAGAAATGTCATTGAAGAACTGAGTACCTCAACTACTGAATGCCATTTTTTTTTCTATGTGGCATCGATATAATTCTTACTATCAAATTTTATATATTGCCAGAAAATTACATTCTCATTATTGCTACTTGTAATCAAGGCAGCCTACATTAACAAGCGGGTCGTCAGTTATAAGTTAGTTAGCATAAGGTCTATGTTAGCATCTTTCTATAAGTTAACAAGGTGGTCTTTTAGAATTTTACCAGAATATTAAAAGTTTGCTTTGAATAAATTATAAGTTAAGGCTCTCTTTTGGAGTGGGAAGTGCTATATTTTAATTGCAATTTATATTCACATCTGCTATGTAAGAGAAGTCTGTTCTGACTAGAATACTGTCACATTTCATCATTGTTGTGCCAGTGCCTTTCTATGTTTTGTGTAATTATACTTGCTATTATAATTGTTTTTTCTCAATTTCAGCTTCAGCCACAAAACAGGATCTCAGCTGTGGATGCTATGCGGCACAGCTATTTTGCAGACATGCCTCCCAAGGTGTATGATCTCCCTGACCGTGAGTACTATGGTTGTTGTCACATATTGCAAGTTTATTTTGGTGAGCCGTGTTTGGGCATTGCAAAGTTACATTTGGTGAGCACTGTTTGTGCTTGGGCTATGTGAAGAAGGCTAGTGAAGTAGACAATGTGTGTTTAGATGAGGAATGTTATGAAAGCTATCTGATAGTTCAGCCCTAGGTCTCATTGAGAAGCAACTGGCAGTATTAAATGAACTCATTTTACTTTAGACACAGTCCCTTCTCGCTGTTTCATATACAAGGGGCCATACATGCCTGCTCTTGAAAGCCCCACCAGCTCTCGGACCATGCTGAGGAACATGCTGTGCATATGGGTAATTCCTAAGTGAAATGTTTGCTAAATATGCAGTCAATGCAGATTGGCCTCAGTAGTGAAAAGGCTTATAATCTATTGCAGTCTGGTTCCTTCTAAAACAAATTCTAGAGGATGAAGAGGTGGAAGAAGTTTAGGAGAGGGCAAGTCGTGGGATCGAATCTCGGCTGTGGCGGCTGCATTTCCGATGAAGGCGGAAATGTTGTAGGCCCGTGTGCTCAGATTTGGGTGCACGTTAAAGAACCCCAGGTGGTTGAAATTTCCGGAACCCTCCACTACGGCATCTCTAATAATCATATAGTGGTTTTGGGACGTTAAACCCCACATATCAATCATCGATCAAGTTCAGGAGAGGGTCATGTGTCTTAGTGAACACAAAAATTATGTTAAGGGGCCCAATATTTCATTGGAACCCCCAAGGCTTAATACAGTTCGAAATGCGGCAGTTATTGAATCTCTATCTTAAGGGGAGATACAACTCGAAAAATGGAAGTTATTTTCCGAAGTTTTTTGTTTCTTCACAAATTGTCACAAGTTTAGCTTGTCTACTCTCATGAGAACAAAAAGCAAGGTAGTAGTTAAACTTGATGTAGATTAAAATTACCTTTAAAAAGCACAAGGTGGCTATTAAAAACTAAAAAAAAAAGCTCATTGTGTGGAGTCCCCTAGAAATTGTCACCTGGCATCTTGCCATTGAATTTTGCATGAGGAGTTCAACAAAGCAGCATGCTCAAAATAACCATAATTTACAAGCTCTCATAATGAATGAAATTATTTAAAAAAGCATATATTTGCCACACAGGTGAGCTTTTATTTCTACATTTTAAACATTTATCTTAAGATGCTATTTTGTGCAACTTCTCGAGTTGGGACATGTTGTTTCTGGTACATCTGATGGCAACATCGGGATGAAATTTTTGCTACGCATTCTTTAACATGTGAAGAGTGCTATTATCTATCTCCTTTAGAACATGGTATCTCTTATATAGTTATGAACATAGTTATGAACCTAAATTAAGCAATTAGTATGGACTGAGAATTATAAAACTTGTCATATCACAATTTTTCTTGTTCGTTTAAATGTTTTATACACGCTTTTTTAATTGCTGTTTGCATTCTACTGTTCACTTGGAGCACTATTAGCCATTAATGGCTCATAATTATACAGGTGCAGGGGCTGGAGAAGTCTGTCCAAAAAGAGCTAAATTTTGCACATTGTCATGGTATAAACGAAAACTATGCAACTGTTTACATATTTGAAATTAGCATAAACACTCACGTAAAGAGCAGGAAAAATTTCATGCCCCTGGCTGCAGATTAAAGAAACTTTTTATAACACGAAAGTGTTTCATGTCGGGGTCTACTATGGTTCCATGACATATTTCTATCATGAATATGACCTTGTAAAATATTTCCTAACAAATAGCAATGGAAAAAAATGAGAAGGAAAAGTTCCGCATCGGGCCATCGAACCAGCAACCTCGCACTGCTCAGTGCGCGACACTAACTACCCAGCCACCGAGCGAGCCTTCTCCAACATGTTAACAGTGAGCCATTAAATATATGCCTTGTAACGCTGGCGGTCCTCAGATCTCGGCAATTTCCGTGCGTTTTCGTCATCAGTAGTGAGATGGCACGACGGACACGCATTGAGGCCAAGTGTGAACGCCCCGGTCGTCATGCTCCACCACCCTGCACGTAGCTGTGCGCGTGCGCCTTCACATGGCATTGTGAAAGTGTGTATAGGTGTTCTGTAGTGTGGTAGCTCACTCGTGCACGTGCCTATCTTGGGATTTCGCGCGCTTTTTACCTCTTGTGCTTCCAGCGCAATTTTGCTTTGCAGTTACAGTAGTTGAAGCACCAAAGTCACTTCGCTTGCTGCCGAGGATGCGTTTACGAAAGAAGCGTGTTACTCACACGCAAAAAAGGAAGAATTGTGACCGTTGTTCGTTCTCATCCTGTGTATACCTGTGTGTTCATTTCGTGCGTCATTTTTTCTGTTTGAGCAGTCTGCTTTAAGTGTCGAGCTATCACAGCTTGTCCACGCTCGTCCTGTGTATGCTCATTTCGTGTGTGCTTTCTTCTTGAGGTGCGTGCCATCATAGCTTTCTTCATAGCTGCGTGCCATTCTTCACGTGATTTTGCAATTTTTTACTGTAGCATTCATTTCTTCACCCTTGTGACAAAACAATGTACAATGAATGCTCGACTACCTCAGCAAGGACACGTTTCACTTTCGTGTTATAGCGACTTCTAAAAAGTGGGATCAACCACGTTTTTTGAGTTGCATGTCCCCTTGAATAACCTCAATGCCTTGAAGAATAGCTTATAATGGCAATGATATTTTAAAAAGTCAAGTAAAATTTTAAAAACATGGACAGACAAACAGACTCTTAAATTTTGCACTGCTTTTCTCAAAATCATGTACAGCCAACTAACCAGCCACCACCTCCTAAGTAAGGTCACAATTATAAGCAGTATTGTGAAACTGTGCAACAAATAGCTTTTACTTTGCAGAATCTAAAATAATATTTGTAAGACCTGGATGGTATAGCACTGCATAAAATCCTAAGCAGTTGATGAAAGCTGGCCTTCGTGTGTCTTGGTTTAAGTTTGCTTTGATTCGATGCAGCCCCAGATCTCAATTAGCTGTGATCAAAGCTAGCTAAACTTATTCTTGATAAGTAGGTAAGACGGGGATTTTATTGGCATCGATGAAATCGTACTTTCATCTGGAAAGCTGCAGATCCAGGTCTTATCACTAGCCACACATTGGCCAAAAAAGTTGAACCAAAATTTGTTGATGAAGTGGAAAATTCTTCTGGTCTTAGCTTATTCTGACCTCCAGCATCAGCTGTAGATACCATGGCTGTTTTCGCTGCCAAGAAAAAAATAAAATTAGACCCGTATCTGCATGTCTCACTGCAAATGTCGTCGAAAGAAGATAGCCTTCTGTCTGGAGTGTGTGAATAAAAGGTTTATTTGATGTTCTGCACAAGAAAACGGCGAATGGGATTCTGGAGGCGCTGCATGAGACATGAGCGCCACCTGGCAGTAATCATGGAAAACGAAAGGATCTGTGCACGGCCTCCAATATAGTGAGTGCGCGGCCTCCAATATAGTGAGTGCGCGGCGTGAGCGCGCCATCTCGGAGGTCATAGTTTGTAGAATGCAAGAGCATAGGTAGGTGGCAGCACCGTATCATATTAGCAAAGGGTAGAAAACAACCACCTTTTTGTGCATAGCGTCGCATTATGAGCGCACTGTTATAAACGCTACAGTCCTTAGAATTACTTACGTATACCTTTTCTAGTATAAAAAGACAAGCCACAGAATATTGACGTGTTGATTTTGTGCCCCAGATATGTGCAATATTTGCTTTTTAATCGACTATGTGCACAAGTATGAATGTAGAAACCAGATCAAAATTGGTGGGCCTTGAGGAAGTGATTGATATTTAGCCTAGTAGCTGAATCATTTCGGTTGACAGACAAGTCGACAGACAGACAGGCCAAAATTTTTGCTTTGAGGTATCCCAAGGAAGGCTGTCGTCTTTAAAACCTAGAATGAAACACACACACAGAAGTGTTTGTCTGTTTTCTTCTTGTCCTTGCGTCAAATCTCATGTTGCTTCTTGGCATTGCAAGTGATCATAAAGTGATGCCGTCTAGCCCCCACAGCAGCTTTACTAGTGATAGGTAGCATTTCTAAATTGTTGCAGGCCTTCAAAGGCGCAAAATAATGCTTTTCATGAAATAAGAACACTGAGAGTTTGAACTAGAGAACTGGATAAGCCACTTTTTCTGGCCTAAGTGGGTGAATATTCCATAATTTATTTGCTGCCTCTTTGTTGCTGTAAGAACCCATGTAAAATTTCTCCATATTTGCTTTTGCATTTAATTGATTGCACTTGATTTTTCTCATTTGTTCCTTTTTCGGTAGCTTTGCAAGGGATACGTTCGGGGAATATTTTTGTAGCAAGTCTTCTACCATGCCACTGCCATTGGGATAGCTGACTTACTCACCATTTATGTTCAACTTTTTGTCGTGCTGCAAGCTTCGCAAATTTTCCTTCATTTTCGCTTAGTTAATGTGCCTATTTTTATTCACTGGCAGGGCTGCTAATATTTACTGCACAGTCTTCATTTGAACAAATTACAGCAACTATCTCCCGCTACAAACACTTTCTAGGAGTCTGAGGTCTTAATACAGTTAAACCGTGATATAACGAAATTGACCAATTTCCCGGAAAAGTTGTTATGAAGAGTATTTCGTTATTTGTAGGTTTTGTACGAAACTGCAAAAAATAAATGTACAAATTAAACAAAAGGGGAACTGAAGGCAGGGTTCACCCAAAGCACCTATGGAGCTGTAAAAAACTGCATTAATATTGCGATAGGAATTATATGGAGACTCTTTACGGGTGTTATCATGCTGCCATGTTTCGTAACATGCCCCAGCGCATCGTAACTTGTACGAGCGGGTAAAAGCGTGCCAACGCTGCTGAGGCAGAGGTCAAATGAGCCGGCTTATCTCTATCGCGTGGAGGGCACATACGATAAAATCCCTTCGCGTGTTAGAACTGCCATCGAATGCTCAAACAAAAAGGAAACACCAATGTTATCGAGCATGAAAAACATGGGGAGGGAGGGGTTTGCCCTAATAGCAACGGTTGGGCTTTAATTTTAAGGGCATGGTTGCGATCGCTGACGTGCATGTTATCTTGGTAAGCATCAGTGCGCTTTTAACGCGAAGAGACTGTGTAAAAAGAGCTCTTTTCCCTGGAGTGGCCGTATTTTCTTACAACAACGTTTCGTAGGAGTTCCGCGATATCAGATCCTCAAGAGTGGGCTGCCAGCTTTACTACGTTTCACGTTACAATTTGTTGCTATCACATTCATTGCATTGCATTCAACGTGCCCTCGTGTTGCCAGGGCTAATCGGCTAATCGTGAAGGCTATGATCCCCAGAACTCGCAGCGCAAGACAGAAACACTTGACAAATCGACCTCCGAAGGTCCCTCGTTACCGTGGTCTCGGAGAGTTTCCATAAGTGCCTGATCTGTCATCTCCTCGGTAGGAACGACACAGTTGTCCACATTAAAAAAAGCTGGATGCCGTCGGGGGCCACTTCATGCGCGCACAGTGAAACAATGCACGCGCCGATAACGAAGAATGAACGACACGGATAGCGCGGAAAACTATTGGTAAAGTGTTCTTCACATGCAGTATGGCCCCACAATCTGATGCTAACTAAAAGTGTGGCACTGCCAATGTAAAAGTGGTTTTCTTTTTTTGTTGTTGTTGTTTTTGGTTTTGAGGGAGGGGCAGACACATTCGCGCATGTGCCTGCAGCAGCAATAACGGCGGCAACACAGACTCGTGGGGTGCAGGTCCGCCTGCCCGCCTCGCGCACACCAGCGCACAAAGCTCGCTCTCGCATGAAAGTGTCCTTAGCAAAAATTCGTTATATGAAGGTTGTCTCCCGCTGTTACATTGTTACGTAGAGGTCGCAAGTACATGTGCTTCTATGGAGTAATGGCTGGGAATAGAAAACTTCATATTAACGTTGAATTCGTTATATTAGGGTTTGTTATATGGGGAGCAAAAATACATGCAAGTGGGTTGCATAGTGTGCACCAGTAATGCACTGTAGTCTTTGCAGTGTACCACAGCTGTGTTTGGGTTTTCCTGCCACAACTTTCTGAGAAATGGAGTGATTATAATTTCCCGAATTTTTCGTAGTGCGCATCTTGATTTACTTGCAAATGGCAGCAAGCGCAGACCTGACTGTGCCCCATGCCCTGTCAGGGTGCAAACCAAATACAGTGGAATCCCAATCAAACACCTTTCACGAGACCACACAAAACCGTCATTGATTGATATGTGGGGTTTAACGTCCTAAAACCACTATATGATTATGAGAGACGACGTAGTGGAGGGCTTCAGAAATTTCGACCACCTGGGGTTCTTTAACGTGCACCCAAATTTGAGCACACGGGCCTACAACATTTCCGCCTCCATCGGAAATGGAGCCGCCACAGCCGGGATTCGAACCCGCGCCCTGCGGGTCAGCAGCCGAGTACCTTAGCCACTAGACCACTGTGGCGGGGCCACACAAAACCGTCATATGATTGGGGTGTTGTATAATAGAAAAATTATAGAAATACAGAATACAGGCAGTAACACTCGACCTTTCACAAAAAACAGGTACAGACTCCCTAAATAAGCCCACTACACGACTCTAAGGAAAGTAGATTAAAAAATTCTTGCCAGTGGCTGCATTACTTAGTTGAAGCAGGTGCAAGCGATTCGGTATTCTCAACTTTAAAAAATCAAACCCAACACACACTTTTTTCCCGATATATTGAGTCCAAAAATTGCCCATGCATGAAATTGAAACTGAAACCGCATCGCCAACAGCCTCCTATTCGAAGAGTTAAACTCAGTGTCATTGCCATCACATAATTGTGATGGAGTGCGAGTTCACAAGGTTGTGTAGAATGCCCGTTTTATGGAATGCCTTCGTGCTCAACTGAGCTGCTCGCATTGTAATTTGTTGCCTTGTGAAGTGCAGCAAGTGAAGTCCCGCTGTTTTAATAAACGTTGACGTCAAGTGAAAGTTATTTTGCTCATTGAAAACTGCTGCATCGCGCCCTTCTGCATGCTCAAGTGTCACAAAGCGAAGCATGAGATCAGCTGTACGTCGGCCAGAGAAAGTTTCCCTGATCAAAAACATTACATTATCAGGGTCTGCAAAATGAGCTTTTCGGCCAGGTGAAGCTGCTCTGGATAGGTATTCTCTAGGTAACGACCCTGCATAAGCAAGTGATTGAGGCAGATGCAGAAGTGCATGAGCTGCCAGGAAAATAAATTTTCCCTTCTAAGAAGACATCCTGTCTCGAGCTCTACTTTTGAATCATCAACCTAAGGGAAGACAATTTCATATTTTGCACTCTTGACTATTTGGTCAACGTTCAATGCGAGTCGAGGTGTTTTTTTTTTTTTCGACAGAATTGTGAAATCGTTGTAGGATGCGGGGTTGGCATAAAACTGTGTCTCATAACCAAGGTTTTCAATACATCGTGTCTATGGGGATTTATCCAGGACCAAATTGGTCTGTTGCAAAAAGCAGGTGCTTGAGAAACCGGGGGACGTATAATAGAAGTTCCTCCGTATTCCTTTTGTGACTCCATGCATATGGTGCTCTAGTTTGAACATATTCAGTATTGAAAAGTATTTCAAAGAAAAGGGTCTCTGCAATATCCCGGGAACGTTACAGTGTAGTTTTACAGTATGCAGAAATGAACTCCTATGTTACTGACATGTAATTTGGTTTTGTTTTTCCCCTTCCCATCCTTCTTTCCACAGAGGCCTCTATATTTACAGTTCCTGGTTGCAAACTTAGTCCTGAGACTTACAATCTCCCCATGTCTGTGATCAAGGCAGCGGCCAAACTGCGATGTTAGCTGTGATAGAATGTCTGCATAGGCACCCAGTCTCCACCACCTGGGCGTCAGCACCACAATAGTCACGCCCTTGGGTCACTTTGTTGAAACGTTGACAGGTTTATCCCTGGAGCGCTTTTTTCATTCCTGCCAACCGAATGGGGCAAACAGAAAAGCAGAAACAGCTCGTCCACTGAACTCTCAAGTTTTATGAGTGTCATTGTGGTCTTGTTGATTGCCTGCTGAAAACATTTTTAAAGAGGTAACTTATTTAAAGACTGCCGTGGCTTGCCAATGTGTGTGCATTTGTGTGACTGTGTGCTGAGTGTGTTTTGATGTGTGAGCATGTGTTTGTGTTAGTGCAAGCTGACGAATCGCCCATTTCTCTTCCCGTTGTGGGATATGTCTAGGGTGATCACATAAGTCTTTACATCATGCAGTAAATGTCACTTCCTGCCAACTGCAGAGTAGAAAATGTGTAACAGTTACAAGCTTTGTTTGCGTCCCACTTACTCGATGCTTGTTGTCGTGAGCCTAGAATTTATCATCTATTGCTATTTGTTTGTTTTTATCACAGAGCACAAAGAAAAAACAAAAGCAAAAAAAGTTGTCTGTAGTCTGTTCTGATACACAAGCAATTCTTTGTAGGTGTTGGTGCAAACAGCATGGCTCTTGAGTTTTTTTGTGTGTTTCCCCCCTTATATTTAAGTCCTTGGTGCTAAAGTCTGGACTTGAGGCGTTTGTGTGGCTTTGTCATGCATTTTCTAAAATGGAAGACTGAGTACCATGAAGCTCAGATAAGGCACCACCTCAGGGAAATTTTGGAGATCTGCCACTAATGCGGGGGTGCTCAGATCTGTATTGATGAAAATTGTCATGGTAGCCATGAGAAAAAAATCTTCATATATGGCTGGTGTTTGGTGACATTTCACTCTCATAAAGTTAACGTGCAGTTCAGAAGCAATGTAATACTAGCACCATCAATCAGAACAGTTAGCTGTATGTGCCAGCTCATTTTTCAGTTACATCAAAGTGTGTAAAATGATAAAGTTTATAAGCATGAATAAATAGCTTAAAAAATGAAAAAACTGAACAAAGGATTAACTTATATAGCTGCGCGGCAACCTTTAGACACAGTTCCCATTATTGTGATAGTTTTCATTGTGATAAGCACAGCAGGAACTTTTTTTTCTGATTGGTAAAACGAGCAGCTTGTTGATGTTGCATGCAAGTTCCATTTCTATGTCAAAATATTTAATTTCAAATCATGCTATGAAAAAATCATCAGTTTGGTTCCACAATTGCTGAATTCAGTATTTGAGGTTTAATCTTGATGCTGCTAGTAATCCTTGTACTTCTTTTTTGTAATTTTTGCTCAGATCTTTTTCTTACTGCTTGAGTTTTTGTGCTCAGGATCTTTTTTTCTATTAAATGGCAATTTGATAATGCAGAACCAGCAACATCAAGCAAACAACACCTGATTTATTAAGGGCTCAGCTTTGAGTGCTCTTCCTGTGTTCCTCACATTAATTCTGCTTATTTAAGCTTCGCCATACGGTTTACTTCATACATTACTTTATTTGGTTAGTGAAGCTCATTAGCAGTTGATTGTCAGCATAGTAGTGCACACCCTGTTGGTGTCACCAGCCCAAGTGTTTTCCTTCATCACTGCACAGCCGTCCCTACCTTATAAGCTCGCTTGCCAATCTGTCCTTGGAGAGCAAATCGATCGAATCTTTTATATGGGGCTGCTTGTGTTTTTTTTCTGTATCTGTGCCGTCCGTGCAATTTTCTGGGTTTTCTATGCACATGTGTGGGTACGCTGATTGCTAATTCTGCTCATTGCCATTCTGTGTGTGGGCTGTATCCAGTTTTTGGAGCCTATGAACTGCTTTATTATGCTAAAGATAAGCAGCATGATTGCATTTGCTAGTGGCATTGCTCTCAATCGAACACCCATGCATTTGCACACTTGAACAGCATAACATAAGCAGTATTTGGGGAGGGTAGCCTAACTGTGCCTTCATGGTACAAATTAAAGACTGTAAGAGTGTGTGAAAAGGCGCGTACCATACTCCGCGTCACTTCATTTGCTTGTCTTTTCACTCAAAAAGTAAGTAAGGGGACAACCATGGCATGATTATGAGGCATTAATATATGGGTGACTCCAAAATAATTTGTGCTGAAACTCAGCCGCACTGTGGCACAGCAGTGTGCCTGGCTAGGTATTATGGCTAGATGGCACGAGACCCCACCCGATCTAAAGGGTGCAACCTTGTACATCTATCCATCTATCTTGGACGCCATTTTTAAGGTTGTCACACAGCAGAAAGGCCATGTTTGCTCCTGTGCTCGTGGTGGGTGTCGCGTGGTGTTCTCTGGCATTTTGTGTGCTCGCTTGTTGCATTTACAATAATGCGGCATTACAAGTTTCCTCCACTACTGAATGCTGTATGGACTTGTAGAAATGACTGGGCAGCAGCACGTTGTTGTTACGTGTTGATAATGCAACACATGCAACCAATCCTTTCACTCTGCCATCCTTTTGCACTGCAGCTAACGATGCAGCTCAGTGACTACGCAAAGTCCCAGTCTGACATGGTGCGCAGCAGTTACATCATCAAAGTAGCGAAATGCGGTGGCTTGACCCCTTGGCTCTATCTGATGACTTGAGTTGATGGAACTATTAAAGAGGTGCGAATCCTCGCAGGCTCATAGTTACGTCACCAGCGGTCTCGTAAAGCAGCCACGGGTGACATTTTTTGACGTCATTGCAAAAGTAGGCTGCATGTAATGTACTGCATGTCAGCAACTGGCCAGCTTTTATTTAGTTATCCGTAAAGATAGCGATAGCGCAAGTAATCAATCGCTGACATTGAGCCCAGCGGATTACACCTGCTTACCGCTGTTCATTAGATTGGTAGCCAATTACCAACATACTCGTCATGTTTTTTTGCACCTAAGGTTGTGCTCGTAGGATCTAATTGCGTAAGCTAAACAGTGATTTATCTTACCGCCGCTGTGCAGGTCGGCCACTCCCAGGCATCAAAGGAAAAGCCGCATCTGGAGTGGCTACTGATTAAGGCTGACAGAGAAGTTCTATGCGCGCACTTCATGAGCTTATATTGGCGAAGCATGCTCACATGTTGAAGCAGGGCATCCCGCAAACATGGTAATGCGATTAAGGTCATCGCAACAAATTCTACCCATATATAGAGCTCTGCGCCTTGACGACAGCTTCAATGTGTGCGCTGTTCAGCATATAGTTGATTCGACAAGCATCAAGGTGCTGTTGCCTTGGCAATTTTACAAGTCCATACAGAATGCAGAAGAGGAAACTTTCAACGCTGCAGTATTATATATATGTTGAGCAAGATCACACCACATAACACCCACCACATAAACACTGTGCAAGCATGGGTCGTCTGCTGCTTGGAAACCCCCAAAATGGCACCCTGCTCGGCGCATCGCAGTGCTGCATTGCAAGTGAGCTTCAGTGCATACTCCCTAAAATCGGTTGTTTCAGGATGACTGCCAGTTGGGCGTGTTGGTAAAGGTTCATGACGAAACAAGTGCTAAAAATACACACACTCGGAGAGCACACAGACAAGCGCTTGTTTCATCCAAATGCAGCTGTATTGGTCTCGAATCAAACCTGTGTCTTCGAGCTCAAATGATAGGCTTAGCACGAAGAGATAGGAAGAGAGCATATTGTATTTTAAAACAAATGACCTAGTTGACATCAAGCACATGAATGATAGTCCTGGGCACGCCATGCAATGCAAGTGACAGATAAGTAATGGTCAGTTAGAGGTAGGTTGAGTTACCAATGGATGGGAAATACGATAGAGGGTGGCAGAGAGTTAGCTTAGTTGATGAAATTAAAATATGTATGTATTACATGCAAAAAGTGGAATCTGCTCTTGCAAAATGGGTAAATTGGAGATCATTCAAAAGCTTTTGTCCTGCAGTGGATATTCGTTTCCGAAAAATTGAGGAGGAGTGTAGAATCACAAGGTTCATATTTTCACTCATATTTTCTATTAATATGGTACGCACTCAAACCTGTTGTTTCGAACCTGAATATATTGAATTCTCTGTCAAACAGTCGAGCAGTAGTAGAGAAGGCGAGTTATTTTCGGAGGCGAGTTATTCTTGGGGCTAGAACAGGGAGTGTGCAATCTTTTTGAAAGATTTTATTAAAAGCTCATAAGCAGGGAAGTACAAGTACTGTACTTGCTTGCACTCCCCTGTACGCTGTGCTGTTTCATAGAAAGGTCAAACTGTGGAATGTTGGTGCACTGAAGTGATGTTCATGCAGTCCCTGGCATCTTTACCTGCACACTGGTTAAAAAGCTATTGTAATATGCTATTGGGATGTTTTTGCTCATGGCACGATGCACGCAGTGGTCCATTTCTGCATTTTTTTATAACGGGGGCGTATGACCAGTCCAGGGTATTCAAGCTATTAAATGAGACATAGAGAACCGCTGTTATTGCCGCTTCCACAGAACAGGTTAAAGTGCTAGGCCAGTCAGGAATCTTATTTTACGAAGAACATATATGTAATGGCTCTTTCTTTTGTGCTTGCTTTCATTTTGAGCTGTCATTGGTGAAATTCGTCTTGCATAATTATTCCGTCGACCGTCCATTGTAACGAGACGTAATCGCAAGCTATCGTTCTTGTGTATTTAATTTTACTAGTGAATTCACTTTTGTGCACGATACCGTTTACATTGGTAGTTGCCTTGACGCTGCCCTTCGTGCACTTCTCTCTCATACACACTTAATTGTAACAAAAGCGGTTTTGGTCAAAACTTTCTGCAGGCTACCGTGGCAGGGATGCTACAAAAAGTATGTCCTCACCTTGCGTGGTGGCACCTGTCCTGCCTGCCTTAGGTCTAACTGATTAATGAAGCCTCTTCATGTTGCTCTTGCCCGACATCGAAGCGGTAGGATTAAGAGCATTTTTCCCTCTTCACAGGAGGCGCAAGGTCTTGGTTCTTTTGCTACACCTCAGTAGCCACTTATCAGCGTAATCTACGTGGTCTTTTTGAGATTGGCTATATACATATTGCGGAACGAAAACGTAACACCTATGGTCACATTGGCCGTGCACGATGTCGCTGCAGCGAAAAGGTGGCACGATCTTGCCGCTGCAGCAAAACACAGTGAAACATGTTTCGTGACAGCATATGGGGCTGTTTCTCTGGTAGAGAAAAATTGGTGCATCTTGGGCAGTCCTTCTGGCCTTAAAATAAGCCAGTAGGCTGCCCTCACTTGTGCATCAATGCTTGGATGCGTCTAGTTTGTTGTAAAAAAAATTCATTCTTTCAACAAATAGACCTCTACTGGGGTACATCACAGTGTGACGTCACCGGTGCACATGCAAGGCAGTGGTTGGCAAAACACTCCCGCCAGTAGCCGAGTGAGGTGCAGGCGCTCGGTGCTTGGGGCAAGTTTTTGTTTCTTTTTGAAAGCTTAATCTTTATCTCACAGTGGCAACATTAGCTGTGGTATGTGTCAGAGAACGTCTAGGTGGGTGGTAAAGTGCCTGATGAAATATTTGCCACGCTGACTGGCTGTTTATCTCGAAGAAGTGAACACACGTGGCGGCCTGTGCGAGGACCAGCGGCATCGTCTTCAAAAATGTTCAGTGTTGACTGTGGCATGTAGTGTGCATTGAAATGTATCGACAATATTGGTTCACCTCTACGGACCGTAAAACTGGGAATATTGTGCGTGGTGTGTGCAGTGTGAATAACGCGTTGCGTCCTGCTTGCGAAAACACTGTTATTCCTTGTGGGCCGGTTGCAGTAACCAGTTCTCGATAAAACTTCACGATCTGACATTTTATTCAAGGTAAAAATGCATTTGACGCGAACATCTGCAAGAGGGTACATCTTGGCGTATGTGCGGTGTGCAGAAAAATAAAAGTGCATGATATCCGCGTGATATATACGACTACACATGAGCTATAAGCATGTTGTAGCATTGCCGAATCTGCATATACGCTTCACCACGGCTATAAATCGCATAATCCGATACCTGATACGTGTTAATTGAAGCAGCGGAGATTTTCGTTTCTTATCCACATTGTACTCTTACGGCTCGATCTTTATGAAGTGACAATGCACATTAAAAGTTTGTGTATCAAGCCTAAAGGAGCAATATAGGCACGAAAACACGTTATAAGTATCAAATGCAGCAAGGTAACTGTGCCAGATAATATTATATATTATTAAGTTGTCGGGTTTTACATCGCATGAATTTTCCCTGGATTATTGAGAAACGTGGCGGCAAGATTTCAGTTTAATTTTCACGAAAATATGTTAACCTCAGCCTATTGCGCGGCAAGAAGTGTTTCTTTTTTGTTTTTCATTCTCTCTGAACGTTTTCTCAATGAGTAAGAATTTTATTCATGACGTCGTACACGGCAGCTCGAAAGCATGTTGCTGCCAATTCTGTACCCCGTTCAAAACTGCATTGCACATGGCACGACGGAAATTGAATTAGTTTACATCCATGCCATGCAAATATGTTTCAAAGTGCCAGTTACCGTGTGCATTGAAAACATTCGCTTTCGAAAAAGATCAGACTTTTTTATGGCTTCTAGCTACGTGGGTGAAGCCCACTGCATGCTAGTCGCGTCTCTCCGTACTCTAAGGTTTCTCCATCTAAAACGAGCGAATTTCCACACTAGAGCAGGGACCCTTCCGCGACCCCCTTCTTTCAAAAGCTGCGACTTTAGAACCTAGCAATGTAGAAAATTCTGTCGAAGGAATGCAGACACGCAGCTCTGCCATGCAGAAAGATGCCACCGGCGGAACTTACTTGCCAACCAGCACCTGCTCCGAGAGAGAGTATGGTGGGCGGGTTGCCCGCTGTGACATCACACTGTTTACAAGCATGGAGAGGTCTATTCCACTCATGTGTGCTTTTTGAGGCTCAACTTCCCGGTATTGGGTGGCGTGTGCGACAACGTCCATCAATGGTTGGATGCGTCTAGTTTGTTGCAAAAATATTCGGTGTTTCAACAAATTCCACTTGTGTGTGCTTCTTGGGGCTCTACTACCCTGTAGTCGGTGGTGTGCGCGACAACCCTGTTTGCTTCTGTTAAGCAATGGCTGCGTTAACGGCCAAAATTCAGCGTAATTCGCAGCTTCTAAGTTAGACACTGAAATGAAACATTAAACTGATTTAGATGTATAAATTCCTTCATTTCCGTCATAGGTTAATAACAAGAAAATGAAATGAAGGTCTAAATATTGTGCTTCAATTTTGCTTCGAAACTTGACGACCCCAGCATTTCTGCAATGTGGGGGATCTGTCTTCTTGTGTATTCTGGCCACATTGGTGGAATGAAATTTTCTTAAAACTTGCGATGTTAAAACTTTGTTCCGTAGAACACATTGTGAATGATTTTTTAGCGACAAGTGATTACGTAGGTCCTAACAGAATCCAGTTAGTCTGTGACATCATGGTGAGCGGTGCGGTGTCACCACCTGTATTTCTTTTTATTTTTTTCCGTTTTCTGACGGGAAGACTGTTCGTTTCGGTATTGTGAAGGTGTGATTTTCTCATGTGAGAAAAATCGCTGATTCATTTTAGTGTCACTTTACCCTACTTTGGTTGAGAATTTCTCTCTCTCTCTTTCTGGTTGACTCTTCGTTGCAAGATCGCTTTGACGATGATCAGTGTATTCAAATTTTCGTGACAATCACTTCTGTAGGAGCTGTTGACGTGTGCCGACAGCGCGGACGTAAGAAAGATCGAGAGAAAGACAGGATGGTTAAATGGCCAAATGGATCGAGAGAAAAACAATGGGAAGTCACAGGTACCGCTAGAGTGAACATTAACGCCATTTGAAAACCTGACAAAGTTGCGAGCTGCATTCGTTTTTCTGCCCCTTGGCATAGAAATCCTTCTGGTGCCATTACCGGCATCTCATGTCACTTGACATGTGAACCACGGGATATTTAACACACTACCCCGCCATATATTATCAAATTAGACACCTTGAGAAAGCTGTGGCATAAGCATTTGTAACCGTCCTCGTCCGCGAGATGCAGAACGTTTGTGGCCAACGTGACCACCTATAAAGCCGGCTGCATATTAACATTTTGCACTGGGTTTCTGATACATAATGTGCTGTCGTACATCTGAAACTATAGTGTCTTTGTGGATGGGTGTTCGTTCGAGAAAGTGCTGATGTTGGCCATGTGTACTGTTGACCTTGTTACTGTGGTTTATCGCGTAGCTGTTACGGAGCATTTCGCAGCAGCTTGCTGCCATTTCGATTCTCCCGGGCAACTTTCGTGGTGAATCTCGTGTACGAAAAGTGGTCGACCATATACATTGGGTCATAGACGAGTGTGTCTAGCTGAGTGGGATAGACCTGTACATCACACACTTGGGGTCATGAAATACATCTGGTTGCTGGAAGACCACGGTCTACTCGATAAGTCTGTCGCATTTGCCATGCGCCTATACGTGAATGAATTGTAGCCTATACAACGTAGCCTATCCTGCTGTAAACGAAAGTTTCCTGCACTCTGCTGTTATTGAGATACTGTTTTCTGCGAGCGCCTGTATCCTTGTGCTTAGGAGGTAGAGCGCTTGTAATGGTGCCCTCGTTGATCCCACATGATGTCGGCTTGTAGTGCTTATTATGCCCTCGAGTGTTAAGCACTTGCGGCGACCTTTCGAGCTGTTTGCGGAAAGAATACGGTCATTTACGGTGAAAAAAAAAAAACAAATGAATGCTCAAAAAGTGGATGCGTCGGTGCCGTGAGCAAGACTGTCAAACAGTCTGTGGGACAGATGTGACTTTTCGTGTTCGTGAGGCACCCCGGGCTAACAAATTTGTTGTGTTCATTGCGGCGACATGCAGTCCGCTCGTTTTATGGTAGCCGTACTTCGGTGCGCTTCATGTTGCCTTGACCTTCGGGGCACCAGGTCTAAGCTGCGGCTCGACATCCATTGTGTAGTCTTTTGTAAATTTTAAATTTGCAGAAGCTTGTCAGGTTTGGTGGTGGCCAGAGGGAACGTCAAAACCCATGAGTAGCTTAGTGTCACGTGGAGTCTTTGACCTCGATAACTGGCTTATCTCTCTTGGTTTCATCGATTATTATAATCTGTGTTGAATGAAGCACTAGATGTAAATTTAGAAGCCACCACCTTCCATTCTATCTTTAATGAGGCATTTATGAAGAGCTCGTAAAAAGGTAATATTCTTTGCAGGCGACTTTCTGAAAATTTTGTGTACCTAAGGCCTTCTAGCGTGTGGGGTTTTAACCCACTGTTGTAAACTCGAGTACAAATTGCGTTCTGCTTTAAACTAGTTTCGGTTGGTGAGGTTGTCCAGCTAGGTGTATTGTGGTATAAATCGCCAAATGTTCTAGCAATCTCTGCAGGCTTGTTTTTTTTTTTTTTTTTTTCATCTTCAATCGCTGGTGTTGTCAGTGCTGTGACGCGAATCCTCCCAGAAGCAGCGAGGGCCTCGGTAGCCCTGTGTTCAAGGCAACCTGAATAGCCGCACTCGTTGTGAA